TATATATATATATATATATTATTATTATTATTATTATTAAGCAGCATAAGAAATGTTTAGACTAGAGTAATGCCTATATTTGATCAAAAATACAGTGAAAAGTAATATTGCAAAATATTATTGCCATTTGAATTGGTCAGCATTTGTTTTGAAAAAGAAATGTAAAATCTTAACGACCCCAAAATTTTGAACAGTAGTATAAAATTAAAAAACTATATATATATATATTTTAAATTTCTTCAAAAACACATAGGAAATTTCTGCCTGTTTGAATTAACATTAAAAACGTGAATACGTGAATGTGAGCTGTCAGATTATTAATGAAAGTTGTGATAAAATGTTGAGGTAATCTAGCTTTCTTATATTCGGCGTCCTTAGGATGGTTGTCTGGGAGGGAGGTTGCTGGCTCTGTACAGCCCCTGTCTTAAACAAACATATACTGTCTCTCTGTATTACAACAAATCAGCACAGCATCGAGGATTTCACCTGGTACAGTACCTCAGCCTAAATTCTCACCAGCTGACCTTTAAAAGTGCAGACCATTCACATGATTACAAGAAGGCAGCTTGACTTCTGAGCTATTCCGCACCATCTTTTGGCAAACTTACCCAGCGTGCACTGCAGGGGGCACACCGGTAGCATCAGTGTCCAGTAAATCTTGCTAACCATCACACAGTCCTGTTCTTTTAGCCTGAAGAATGGTGAGCAAAAAACTGACATTGAAAAGCACTGACATCAGCCAGCGTAGGTGGTGAAAACAGATTTGCGAGCATGCAACATCCCCTTGCTTCATCTTTTGTCTGGCAATGCATTTAGTTCAGGCAATTGAACGATGGCCCAGCAAAAAAGACCACATTAACAGTCCACCCTGAGGCTGATTCCTTGTTGTTGAGCTTTAACACACACAAACTGATGTGCTGGACTTAGCTGTTAGAAATTTTAGTTTTGCATCGTAGTTTCACAAAAATTCATGTTTAATTTGTTTCATGTTTATTTGTAATTTTTTGTGAAATTTACTAGCAAACTGTGATTGTTTCTACACCATTTCTACACCAAATGAACATTTGCTGAAAATGTACTCACCCTCAGGCCATGTAGATGAGTACTTGTTTCTTCATCAGAACATATCTGGAGAAATTCAGCTTGATAAAAACATCATAATAATCCACAAGTAATCCACACGAACTCTAGTACAATTAGTGTTTTGTGAAGTGAAAAGCTGCGTATTTGTAAGAAAACCATTAATATAAACCATTGCTTCTAGTCTTCTATTCACAATATTGCTTTCTCCAGTGAAAACGTTGTGCCATCTGAATCAGGAGAGAAATATGAACAGATCTATCACCATATAAGTGAAAACCATCAAAAACAGTTCTAAACAAATATGTTGGTGGATTTTGATGTGTGAGGACAACAGGGTAGGCCATAGACTTTTCCTCTGGGTGAAGTGGCATTATGAATTGACCCTTCGCAAAACCCACCCACCTTAGTTACTGTTGCTATGTCCGACAAGCCATGCCGCTCTCACATTACACACCATGTTCTCACGCAGTAAAAAATACATTGCGGAACAAAGAGGAAACTGACAACGCACTGGCAGACAAGACCGAGCACGTACTTCTGGTATGAAACAAGGACTCAGCTTTAAAATTTTGTCTTTTTTTAAGAAATTCAAACAATAAATACCGTTTTGTGTCTCTTTAATGTGTCACGACGGATCACTGTAGCACCTCAGTTCAAGCGGCACGTGAACCGATTGTCTTTTCACATTTACTTAAAACACAAAATAAACATGAATGAACATCATAATGCATTTTATTTCAATACACACAATTTTCCAAATTTAAATCCACCGAAGTTAATCTACTCTCCTGTCTGATTTGTTTGTCAGGCAAGATGGCAGATTCGGCGTTATGATTGGTCAGATCGCCTGTCAGATAGAGGCTGATGTGAGTGGGGAGAACATCCCTTTTCTCGGGATTCACATGAATAAATGCACAAGAAGGGTTGACGGCATCTTTACAACGTCTGTTATACTTTGGGCTATTTTGTGGGGAGATGTGGCGGTTGGCATGTTTACACGTTGTACAGTAAAGCCGTCTTATTATATGTCAACAATGAAACAAACAAACAAATTTGGGACTTTACGTAATGGTCACAATAACAAAATATACTGTATGTGTTACTAGATCATATATCCATGAAATTTTTGAGGTGTGTTTTTCAACAGGACTGAAGTCAATCTATTACAGATGCATTGCTTTGGTTGTAAAAAATATGACCAATTATGTGCTTTTCCCCCAATTAATTCAATTTTAGGTGTGCTGATTTTATAGTTTCCAGTGTCCGGGAAAATTTGTTTTGGCACTCAAATATCACACTTTTCTCAAGTTTTATAGTGAAGGTTGTAGAACAGTTGCGAGAAAATGGTTTGTGATCTTAATTTAGTTTCTTGAAATGACAGATTTTTGATATTTGTTTTCCCTTTTTGTGACTAGTTAATTCAATAGCAATATTATCTTTGTAGAGAATATTGCTATTGCACTAGGCAACTGACCTTAACCTGACGTTTTCCTTAAAAAAAAAAAAAACATTATTCCAAAAGGATAAAAAAATATATATTTTTTCCTTTAGAAAGTACAACCATTGCATCCTGTGGTCACTGCATTACTAAGTTTATGAACTACTTTCTTGTAATTTGTAAATGTAGGGCCTCACACAATAAGAACCCATGGAAAAAGCCTGGAAAAAATGTTGCTCAGCCATTCGTCACCATATAAGCTGCTTTCTACCTAAGTCTGTCAAAGTGACTCACCAAGGATTAATTTACAACAACCCATCATTTTTTAATAGGGCAGTTTTATGGAAAAGGTAGAAAAAATGTTTGTACTGTTTTACACAGTCTACTGCAGTAACAAACAGAAGTTCTCAATTAAGAAAAACATCGAACAAAAAACATTAAATGTCATTTTTTACTTTAAATGGTCAATGGTTAATATTATTGAGCTATAAACATCCATGAAAATCTCAAACTTGGGTATAACTATAACTGTCTATTTTAATATATATATATTATGTATATATATATAATTTAAATAAATAATTTATTTTGATAGCAAAGCTGAATTTTCAGCAGCCATTATTCCAGTCTTCAATGTCCAATGTCACATGATCTTTCAGAAATCATTCTAATGCTGATTTGCTCAAGAAACATTATTATTGTTCTAAACAGTCAAGCAGCTTAATATTTTTGGTGGAAACTTTTTCAGGATTATTTGATGAATAGAAAGGTCAAAAGAACCGCGTTTGAAATCTTTTGTTACATTATTAATGTATTTACTGTCACTTTAATACATCCTTGCTTAAGAAAAGTATTAAAAGCATTCATTCTTACAGGCCATAGTAGACGTTTGAACAGTAGTCTAAATCAAAAGAAAAGAACACATTGCAATTGCATCCTATAGTTAAACCCCTAACTAAAAAGAGAACATTTAAAGAAAATAGGATCCATGTGATAAAATGATCATTTCTGAATTTACTATTGATATCGTTAGTGTGATATACAGTATTTTACAGTGGCTTTATTAAGAATGGCCTACACTATTTATATGGTAGAAGTCATGCCTTTTCCAAGGATTATAGTAGTCTAGTCTAGTAGTCTAGTGAGTGTAGTAGGCTCAGTGTGCATATGTCATCAGTGTCACGTGAAGGGGCGTAACAGTCTCTCACATGTAGAAGTCACAGCAGCTGCATGAGAGGAGGGAGAGGAAACCTCAACTTGAGAGGACTGAGCCTAAAGACGTTTACTGACAGGGCTGCTTATATATTTCATGAAATACCAGGACACCTAGCTCACCCTGTATAGCTCTTATATCAAAGAGAATGTGGGTTTTAGTCTTACTATCACCAGACAACTGTGAAGCCCGACTGCACACCGTCCAAAATATGTCCAGTGAATAATTTCAGCTGAATATAATTAGCATTTTTTTTCTTGCTTTAATAATACAACATCAGCACGAGCGCGTGGAGGAGGCACCTGGGACTGGAGCTCTCTCGCACACACACACACACACACACACACACACTCACACAGACGGGATCGGCGCGCTGGACATGAGGAAGACCTCATCCCGAGCCTGATTTCCTGCGGTCCCGGCCATCTGTGTGCCTTCAATTACACTGAAATCCACTCACGAAATGACCCAGCCGCAGACGACCATGGAGCTGGAGCAGAGCTGCAGTTTATCCAAAAAGAGCATCATTACCAAAATGTTTAAAGTTCGCAAAAGGAGAGAGATGCTGTTCGTGCAGGTGTGCTTCATCTGCAGCGTCCTGTTCTTGGTGTGGTGTATGTCGGCGTTGCTCACAAAAACAGGTGAGTGACTGTCCCTTTACTGTATGTATTGTTGGGGCTACCACATCTATACTTACGCTTGTCGTTATCGTACAGTGTATTAATAATGCGCCGACAAGGCGGTAGTAACGTTACATACTTATCCTCTTTTGGGACGTCAGACGTTGAATTATTCACTGTAGTGTGAATAGGGGCTGCTGTGAGTGGGGAGAACATCCCTTTTCTCGGGATTCACATGAATAAATGCACAAGAAGGGTTGACGGCATATTTACAACGTCCGCTATTCTTTGGGCTATTTTGTGGGGAGATGTGGCGGTTGGCATGGTTACACAGTATATATGTATATACATGGTTGTACTACAGTACATAAAGCCGTTTTATTATATGTCAACAATGAAACAAACAAACAAACGATGATTTCAAGCTATGGTTTTATGTCCAAACTATGTCACACAGTCCCTGATTGTGTTTGTGTAACGGTACGATAAACCGTTTCGTTGTATTCGACGGTTAACGGTAGCTGCCGTTTTTTAAGCTGTCCAAGTTTGAATCTTGCCCTCGTGGGCGGAGTCAAACGTTTAGATGGGCGTGTCAAGATTCTAAAGGGCGGTGTCAATAAAGCCACAGGCAGATCAAGACTTGTGATTTGATTACTTTCATGAATGTTATGTTGATATGAATTTTCTGTATTCAATGAACCAACTTCTTGACCTTGAAGTACATTTTTAGGTATGAAGGTGTGCATTACGAATATATTTTAGAATGTACTAAATTGCCATGTTAGCTTCATTAGTCTTGCATAGACAGACCTTCAGAGTGATGGCAGAAGGTCTGGACTCTATAGCAGCTTTCATTGGCCAAGGACTGCCTTCTGACTGAAGTTAAGCAAACAATCACAGTTTGTTTTGTTTATTTTCATGTTTAGGGGCGTGAAAATGTAAAGCTGATGTCTGTACAATAACAGAACGGCATGTAAAATCTTGGACGTATTTTAATAAGGCTATGCCATGAAATTCACATGCCTTTGAAAATCCAGCATCTAATTGTTCCTGATAAGCATTGATTGTCACATGGCAGCTTTCTTCCATGAGGGGTTTGGCATTATGATAGCTTTGTTTCCAGGTGGACTTTTAAAGAATGTAACGCGCACTCACGGACATCCTGTAGAATTCAACCAATCAGATGCGGACTTTGAAACTCCTGAAGTGTTTTCAGTTTTGTGTACCATGTGCATGTGTAAATGGTCTGTGGATGTGACATCCGAGGCTGAGACTATGTTGACATTTTCTGACACTTATGTTCTAACAACTGTGAAAATTTACTTGAATGTCATTAAACAAAAAAATTGGTTTAGAAACTGTTTTCACTCAGAAATTACAAGTACATTTCTCAATTAATTACAAAGAAACAAGTAACACACTGAACGTAGAAAGACTGAAATAGTTATTTCTTGTAATACATCCAAAACAATCAATCCAATAATTGGACAAATCTGTTTTTACAGTGTATAGTTCTATTACAGGAAGAACTTTCTTGGTAGCTTTAGCTCTTAAAGTTGAGATGAAATTGAAGAAGCAACAAATCATTTCTTCTGTATCATGATGTACATCTGAGTGTAATGGATTATCAAAAAAGAAAAAAATTCCAGTTGATACTGGTGCTCCCCAGCTCACTTCAAAAGTGTGTTGAGATTTGCATCTTGAATATTTAGTTAACGTCTCTGTGTTCCATGGAAGAAATAAGGTCGTACAGGTTTGGAACAAAAACAAATCTTTAAAAATAAAACTGGAGTTATGTGCAGACTAGCTCTGAGACCCCCGCTGATCATTAGCCGGCAGACAGTCTGATATCCGAAGAGTCTGATGTTTTCTTTTTTATCTCTCCACATGAGTACTGTGAAAGGAAGGTGAAGGGGGATTTGAGGGAAGGAAGTTTTACGAATTGGATTAAAAAAATCACATCTGTAAGATGGAGGGTATAACAATCTCATGTGTAATTTAAGTATGCATATGAAAAGCATCCTAGAGGACACAGGAAATGGAATCAGTGCCAGGCGAAGACAGCACAGTATCCAAACTATGATATATACCTTTATAAAAAAAAAGTGCCTGTGGTGACATTTCTGAAAAATATTACACTGCTTCTTGCATGTTTCGCAACACTTTTAAAGTTAGATTTCCAGTGAATTGCATTAAAGGGGTCATGAAATGCCTTTTTTATTATTTTGTACTATTCTCTGAGGTCCACTTATAATGCTATCAAGATTTTTACATACAAAAAACATAATTTAAAAGTAAAAGGCTATTTTCTGTCATGTTTTGACCCCCTCATCAGAACGCTCTGTTTGAATAGGCATGGCAGATTGTAGACTCGGAAGTAAACGCCCACTGCTATGATTAGCTAAATAGTTGTGTACGTTTCACAGCCTACATTCTTCATGGATGGACACTGCTGTGATTTAGGTTATAAAGGCATAAATGCTCAGTACATATCAAACGATCTGTAATAACAGACAAAGCAATAGTGACCACGTAATATAAAAAAGGTACTCATGACCACGTAATATAAAAAAGGTACTCATACTTGTGTGGTGCGACATTACTGTCAGATCCAATTGTCAGCACTGCATTGTTATTTAGTTTCAGTCTTTCTGAAAACCCTGCATAGAATTTGTAACACAGTTCGTAGTTCGGGAAGAAGGAGGCAAGAACCGGCGAACATTTAAAGACTTTAATAAAATAAACAAACACAAAATGAAAGTAAAGCAGCAGCCCCTCGCGGACGACTGCTGCACACAAAACACAAAATAAAGTCCAGGCCTGGTCCTCTCTCGTCTTTCACTGTCGTCACTCCTCCTTTTATCCTTCCGGAGCTCCACCGTGGGACTCGAGACCGGTGAGTGGTGCAGGTGTCGCCCATTATCAATTACTCCACCGGCCTCGCTCCGTTCCCACGGCTCTCGGCCCCGCCCCCACTCATCACAGAATTATTCTTTTGTTTGTAAACAAACCCATGGTAAAATGAAGTGAACAAAGGACAGAGTTCTTACTGACTCGGTTTGGATCTTCAGTAAAAATAAAGTTAAAACAATCTCATGTGTAATTTAAGTATGCATATGAAAAGCATCCTAGAGGACACAGGAAATGGAATCAGTGCCAGGCGAAGACAGCACAGTATCCAAACTATGATATATACCTTTTATTAAAAAAAAGTGCCTGTGGTGACATTTCTGAAAAATATTACACTGCTTCTTGCATGTTTCGCAACACTTTTAAAGTGAGATTTCCAGTGAATTGCATTAAAGGGGTCATGAAATGCCTTTTTTATTATTTTGTACTATTCTCTGAGGTCCACTTATAATGCTATCAAGATTTTTACATACAAAAAACATAATTTAAAAGTAAAAGGCTATTTTCTGTCATGTTTTGACCCCCTCATCAGAACGCTCTGTTTGAATAGGCATGGCAGATTGTAGACTCGGAAGTAAACGCCCACTGCTATGATTAGCTAAATAGTTGTGTACGTTTCACAGCCTACATTCTTCATGGATGGACACTGCTGTGATTTAGGTTATAAAGGCATAAATGCTCAGTACATATCAAACGATCTGTAATAACAGACAAAGCAATAGTGACCACGTAATATAAAAAAGGTACTCATGACCACGTAATATAAAAAAGGTACTCATACTTGTGTGGTGCGACATTACTGTCAGATCCAATTGTCAGCACTGCATTGTTATTTAGTTTCAGTCTTTCTGAAAACCCTGCATAGAATTTGTAACACAGTTCGTAGTTCGGGAAGAAGGAGGCAAGAACCGGCGAACATTTAAAGACTTTAATAAAATAAACAAACACAAAATGAAAGTAAAGCAGCAGCCCCTCGCGGACGACTGCTGCACACAAAACACAAAATAAAGTCCAGGCCTGGTCCTCTCTCGTCTTTCACTGTCGTCACTCCTCCTTTTATCCTTCCGGAGCTCCACCGTGGGACTCGAGACCGGTGAGTGGTGCAGGTGTCGCCCATTATCAATTACTCCACCGGCCTCGCTCCGTTCCCACGGCTCTCGGCCCCGCCCCCACTCATCACAGAATTATTCTTTTGTTTGTAAACAAACCCATGGTAAAATGAAGTGAACAAAGGACAGAGTTCTTACTGACTCGGTTTGGATCTTCAGTAAAAATAAAGTTAATTCATTCTTTCCTAATGTTGGGATCAGAAGGAAGGAAGGCCATGCAAAGACTGTGTTTTTCCATAACTTGGCATTGCTCAGTGTCTTGTCTTCTTCAGAGCTATCTTTTAGTTTCTGCGTAGACCTGCGTTTGCCTCTCTAGTTACACTACATGTGCGAATCGGTGGGCGGGGCTAAACGGGCAGTGATGTAGAAGCAGGCATTGATCTTCTTCTGCGGAGGCGGTGCTTAGCCACACTATTACATCATAAAGTGGCACATTCCACAACCTGTCATTTTGGCAGATTGGCTTCAATATAAGCTGTTGTTTTTTTTTTTTTAGACTAGTGAGAAAGTTTTGAGTTTGGAAACGTACAGAATGTTTTTATAGTACAACAACCTCTTATATATCAAAAGATCAAGGGAATTTTGATTTCTCAGTCATGATCCCTTTAAAAGTTAATGCTATGTCACATTTGAAAATAACATTCCATCACTAAACCCTACCCTAAACCTAACCAATAGCGGTAACAAAAGCAAAGTTAGAATAAAAATGCATTTGCTGAAGTAACCGTGCCATTTTAGCATTTTTCTACAAGTCTTGAGCTCTTTTATTGTGACTGTTTCACAGGACTTGTACACTGATTGCAAATACAGTGCTATACCAGGTGAGCTACTGAGCAAGTTTACAAAGTCAGGAAAGCCAAGCATATAGAGCTGGTTATGTGATGCAAGCATCAAAATGTATAAATTTGCAAATCATGCACTATGGTATAAGTGTTTGAGGTCATAATCTAGTACTGCACGGAAAAAAAGTACAGTATTTAAGTATTTATAATCTACCCCTGT